CTCTTGCTAGTCACCACAACTGAAGGAGCTGACTGGCGTTGCCTAAGTGGTTTATCAATGCCATTGCTGGCGTCCACCCAGCACTTGGATTCAAGTCGGTGCAAAGTGAAATAAAAAAAATCACAGTTTTGAAACATCACGAACGGTGAGGATTTGTAATAAAGGTTTCGGTGTGCAAGTCCATGGGACCCACGAATCAATGTGTACCCTTTATAATAAATATATGGGGGTTGTGTGTGTGTCTGTGTGTCTGTGTGTCAGTCCGGCAAAACAACCCCCTACCTCCTCGCGGTGCCGGACGGGCAACTCTGTCGTGGACAGTGCTGTGGGGGGAGGGCCAATGCCCATTGGCCTCTCCCCTCATGGCGTCTGTGACCACCACAGTGGCTAAACGGGGGCTCTGGACGGGTGCGAGGGGCTGGTAACCCCTCCACCTTCAATTCATTACCACGAAACCACGACTTAAACATAAATATGTTACTAATAAGCTTGTGCCGGAGGCCCCGGGGGGACAGGCGTCTATGACGTCTCCTGGCCAAACCCCAATTGGCGGAGCCAGGAGATTGAATCTTCACCTTCGGGGCTCCTCCAGAAACAACGAAAAGCCACTTCGTGTGGCCACGTAGAATGTACGAACGCTTACTGGCAAGGATTATTCAACATCGCCTTGCTAGCGGAGCCCCAATGTGGTTTCAGGGAAGGGCAGTCCTGCACAGATGCCATATTTTCTGTCCGTCTGCTACAGCAGAGGTGTAGGGAATTCCAACAAGACCTACATCTCTGCTTTATTGGCCTGGACAAGGCCTATTTACCATCAGTAGGCCTGGGCTCTGGGTTGCTCTTCGTGCTTTCGGAGTCCCTGACCCTCTGCTCACGATCATTAAGGACCGTCTTGATGGTGAGCAGGCCCGGGTAAAACTACGTGGCCGGGAGTCAGAGCCTTTCCCTGTACACCTTGGGGTGCGACAGGGATGTCCTCTGGATCCCACATCATTTAACATCTATTTTGACCACGTAGTTCGTGAAGCCTTCAATAGCTGTACCGGGGGAATTTCCATTTGGTACAGATATAATGGGAGGCTGATCGATGCCCGTGTGCGATCAAGGGATGGCTCCCTATTGGTCAACCACGTTATATATGCCGATGATTTGGTAATAGCTGCTCATTCAGAGGTGGAGTTGTAGACGCTGCTGCTGAGACTGGAGCGTGCCAATAAGAGGTGGGGCCTTACCATCAGCCCCACCAAAACTAAGCACCTGCCTGGGTATTTTGTACCATCGGACACTCCACCCCCACAACTCCCAATCAGTGATGGGGTAGTAGTGAAGAGAGTGGAGAGTTTCCCATACCTGGGCAGTGTGCTTATTACCGACTCCAATTTAACAGCAGAGGTCTCACTCCAAATCAGTCGAGCGGCAATATCTTTTCATCGGTTGCGTCACGCTGTATGGAAGCTACCTGGTCTGTCGCTCCGCACGAAGCTTCAGGTCTTCTCGGCCACAGTCATTCCCTCCCTTCTCTACGCTTACGAAACGTGGACCCCCCTAACGGAGCATCTTCGCCGGTTGGAAACATTTAGGCTGGCCTGCCTACGATCTATTCTGGGTTTAATTAGGCTGGATTGTGTGAGGAGCTCACAAATCCTTGAAAGATCTGGGCAAAGTCCCATCGGTGAGCTCCTCCGGCAGGCAAGGGTGTGTTGGTTGGGTCATGTAGCCCGCATGCCCAGCCACCGCATGCCTAAACAGCTTTTGTTCGGCCGGATCGAGGGGACTAAATGGGTGCGGCACGGGCTAGAGAAGAGATGGAGTGATGTGGTACAGGAGGACGTGGAGCTGAGTGGGCTTGCCGATGACTGGTACCAGCGGTGTCAAGATCGGCCTCTGTGGAGGAGGCACGTGAAGGACGCTACTGGGCAGTTGGAGGCAGTCGCCCTCCAGCAACAACGGAGGGCGGAGGAACGATGCTCACAACAACGAGCGGAGCGCCGGGTGGCTAAAGCACAGCAAGTAGGGGGCACAGGTGGCGCATCAGCCAGTCATCTCGGTCATCTCAGTCAGTCGACCCGTGGCACCTGGGTCTGCCCCGTGACCTCCTGCCAGCGGGCGTTCCACACTTCACGTGGCCTCAAGGTGCACACCTGGCACAAGCGTCGTGGTAACGTCACCGCCACTTAGTGGCGTGTTGTGTCTGTCTGTGCGTCGAGTGAACGTTAATGTAGCGGCTTCTGCGCTGCACTACGAACCCGAGTTCGATTCCCGCTCACGGCCAACACCAGTGGCGATTATCTAAACCGGTCATGGGCCTCCCCTAGGTCGACTCAACCTCAAATGAGTGGTTGGTGCAGCGTGTAAAAAATCACACACTGGGGAGACGAAGGCGGTGAGGCGTGGTGCTGACCACCCAACCCCCCCCCCTCGTGTGCCGTGCCGGCCTTCATAGATGCTCGCCAACAGCTCTTGCCCCAATAGTCTGTTAAGGCTATACAGGGGTTATTTGCCTTTGTATTGTGTGCTGTGTGGGGGCTGCTTGTGTGTGGAATTCGTGGGGGGAGGATATTCACTTACAGAGGCGTCCCTCGCATAACGCTGCGTTCCTGAAAAACAGCGCAAGACAAATCGTGCTGTTTTACCTCTAAATCTCTCGTGTCAGGTCAGAGGTTTTACCTCTAAATCTCTCGTGTCAGGTCAGAGGTTTTACCTCTAAATCTCTCGTGTCAGGTGAGAGGTTTTACCTCTAAATCTCTCGTGTCAGGTCAGAGGTTTTACCTCTAAATCTCTCCTGTCAGGTGAGAGGTTTTACCTCTAAATCTCTCGTGTCAGGTGAGAGGTTTTACCTCTAAATCTCTCGTGTCAGGTCAGAGGTTTTACCTCTAAATCTCTCGTGTCAGGTGAGAGGTTTTACCTCTAAATCTCTCGTGTCAGGTCAGAGGTTTTACCTCTAAATCTCTCGTGTCAGGTGAGAGGTTTTACCTCTAAATCTCTCGTGTCAGGTGAGAGGTTTTACCTCCAAATCTCTCGTGTCAGGTCAGAGGTTTTACCTCCAAATCTCTCGTGTCAGGTCCGAGGTTTTACCTCTCAATCTCCCGTGTCAGGTCAGAGGTTTTACCTCTAAATCTCCCGTGTCAGGTCAGAGGTTTTACCTCCAAATCTCCCGTGTCAGGTCAGAGGTTTTACCTCCAAATCTCTCGTGTCAGGTCAGAGGTTTTACCTCTAAATCTCTCGTGTCAGGTCAGAGGTTCTACCTCTAAATCTCTCGTGTCAGGTCAGAGGTTTTACCTCTAAATCTCTCGTGTCCAGTCAGAGGTTTTACCTCTAAATCTCTACTGTCAGGTCAGAGGTTGTATCTCTAAATCTCTCATGTCAGGTCAGAGGTTTTACCTCTAAATCTCTACTGTCAGGTCAGAGGTTGTATCTCTAAATCTCTCGTGTCAGGTCAGAGGTTTTATCTCTAAATCTCTCGTGTTCAGAGGTTTTACCTCCAGAGCTCAGTGCAGAGTTTATAACTCTAGATATCTGGTGTCGAGTTAGAGGTTTTACCTCTCGATATTGAACATCAGGTCAGAGGTATTACCTCTAGATATCTCAGTTCACAGGTTTTAACTTGAGATAACTGGTGTCGATTGATAGGTTTTACCTCGATCTTTAGCATCAAGTCAGAGGATTTACCTTTAGATGTCTGGTTTCAGGATAAAAGATTGATCTGTAGATGTCTTTTGTCAGGTCAGACGTTTTACCTCTAGGTCTGTAGTCAGAGGACTTCACAACAGGGGCTACAAGCAGTCCAAGACTGGCCACTTCGAGAGAGGGATACCCGCAGTCCATGACTGGTCACTTATAGAGAGAGCTACATGCAATACAATACTGGTCAGAGATGGAGGGATACACGCAATACAAAGCTTGTCACTTAGAGAGGGCAACATGCAGTACAAGACTGGTCACTTAGAGAGAGGGGGGCTACATGCAGTACAAGACTGGTCACTTAGAGAGAGGGGGGGGGGGCTACATGCAGTACAAGACTGGTCACTTAGAGAAAGAGCAACATGCAGTACAAGACTGGTCACTTAGAGAGAGGGCAACATGCAGTACAAGACTGGTCACTTAGAGAGAGGGCAACATGCAGTACAAGACTGGTCACTTAGAGAGAGAGCAACATGCAGTACAAGACTGGTCACTTAGAGAGAGGGCAACATGCAGTACAAGACTGGTCACTTAGAGAGAGGGCTACATGCAGTACAAGACTGGTCACTTAGAGAGAGGGGGGCTACATGCAGTACAAGACTGGTCACTTAGAGAGGGGGGCTACATGCAGTACAAGACTGGTCACTTAGAGAGAGGGGGGGCTACATGCAGTACAAGACTGGTCACTTAGAGAGAGGGCAACATGCAGTACAAGATCGGTCACTTAGAGAGAGGGCAACATGCAGTACAAGACTGGTCACTTAGAGACAAGGGCAACATGCAGTACAAGATTGGTCACTTAGAGAGACGGCTGCATGCAGTACAAGACTGGTCACTTAGAGAGGGCTACATGCAGTGCCAGACTGGTCACTTAGAGAGAGGGCAACATGCAGTACAAGACTGGTCACTTAGAGACAAGGGCAACATGCAGTACAAGACTGGTCACTTAGAGAGACGGCTGCATGCAGTACAAGACTGGTCACTTAGAGAGACGGCTGCATGCAGTACAAGACTGGTCACTTGGAGAGGGCTACATGCAGTACAAGATTGGTCACTTAGAGAGAGGGCTGCATGCAGTACAAGATTGGTCACTTAGAGAGGGCAACATGCAGTACAAGACTGGTCACTTAGAGAGAGGGCTACATGCAGTACAAGACTGGTCACTTAGAGAGGGCTACATGCAGTGCCAGACTGGTCACTTAGAGAGAGGGCAACATGCAGTACAAGACTGGTGAGTGAGACAGTGAGTGAAAAAGTGAGAGAGTGAGACAGTGAGTGTGAGACAATGTGAGCAGTGAGACTGAGAGTGAATATGAGAGTGTCCGGCAAAAAAACAACCCCCTATCGTCTCTGTGGTGCCAGACGGTAACGCTGTGGTGGATGTGGAAAATGCCATGGGGGGACGGCCAATTCCAATCGGCTGTTCCCCTCACGGCACTCGTAGCCACCAGTGGCCAGTGGGGCTCTGGACAGGTGCGAGGGGCTGGTAACCCCTCCACCTTTAATTTACTTACCACAAAACCACAAAAAATATCGAAATAAGTTTGTGCCGGAGGCCGCATGGGGACATGCGTCTATAACATCTCCTGGTCAAACCCCATTTGGTGGAGCCAGGAGACTGAACCCGTGCCCTCGGGTTTCCTCCAGAAATGTCAAAAAGGCTCTCCCCGAGACCTATTCTACTCGTGCCACCACTCGGGTCCACCGATTCATCTTTTCTCGTGCCTGCAGACACCGCGCTACCCACAAGGAGGTCTGTGCTTCCTCCACTATGGGCAGTACAAAGCACATTTCGTGAACCAGGACCAGCATCCTCTCCATCACTTACGAACCCAGCGCCGCTTCATCCAGCTGAGGGTAAGGCTTGATAAGCTGCCTGCCTGAGCACCACCAGAGCGCTGCGGCGGGCGAGGGCGACTCTGCTTCCTCTCGCTTGCGATGTTGGACCTTCCTCTTTGCGTGGGATGGCGGGTCGAAGACCTCTGCTTGCAGCGTGGCCCTTCACTCTGCTGGTATCGCCTTGAAGATGACGAGGGCTTCCTCGCTTAAGGCCGTGGTTAGTGCCTTTAATGCATATTCTTTGGTCCAATCTAGTGCCTGATATATGGCCTCAAACCTCCTGGTGAAGGCTCCCCACACAAACTATGTAACTGGCCCCAGCCAGCAAGGTCTGTCGGGCGCTCTCTCGTGCGCCGCCGGGACTGCCTCCTATGCGGGAGCCATAGCCGCCGCAGCTGCCACAACGCTGAGCATCCTTGGCTGCCCGGTCCCTGCGGCAGTCAGCCGGGTGGCTCTACCCGCAGGTTCTTCAACCATCTGCTGTCTTCCCGACACCGCTGGTGTCTCTTGCCATCGTCCTGACAGGGAGGTTCCTCTCTCCCCGTCCGCCGATCCTGAGCCCATCGCCATATTTACTGTAACATCAGCTGAGAGACTGCATCCGTGAGGGAGCTAATTCGTCCCTCCATCCGCTCCCATCCTTCAGTCACCAGCGGCGCTTGGCTGAGTGGACGCTCTTCTCTCTGCGGCTGCCCCAGTTCCGCAGCCTCTCTCGCGTCCCCGAGGTTGATCTCCGGGTCCTCTCCACCTGGGACGTTCTGGATGAAAACTTCTTCATGGTCGGAAGTCGTCGGTGGGTTCTTTCATCGGCTGAGGCGCGACATATTCTTGTTACCCCACTTCTGACATCAGTTGTAATGTTTAACACGTAGGCTTTCGCGACCAATATGACCCATAATACAGGTTTTTTTGGTTAGATTGCGTAACCAAAAAAACAATGTCGTTAAATCCGCCACCACCCAACACAGCCAATTAGTAAGGGTTGTCACGTAAACAGAATATGCCAATTCATACTCTTAGGTTTTTTCGGTAAAGTCACGCAGGTAAAAAAAATAAAATGACGTTTCGGAGGCAACACAAGTCTCCGTCATCAGGTGGGATCGTCACAGCAGTAATTTTAGCTGTGACGGTCCCACGTGACTTTACCGAAAAAACCTAAGAGTATGAATGCTTGCAGTCACGAAAGCTTCAAATCTAGAATATGCCAATTCGTTACTAGTACACAAGCATTGCAGCTGCCCAAGTAATAAAAACTATTAAAATACCGTACATTCCGGAAGTAACTGATAAACTAGCCAGATGTTTGGAAAAACAAAACATCTGAGTCAGATTTGGCACGGTACATAAAATAATAGAAATTAATATCTGGTACAAAATATGGATGACCGAAGCTATTAACAGAAGATGTGTACCAGATTAATTGCACTTATGGAAAATGCTATGTTGGGGAAACAGGATGAATGATCAGCACGGGACTAAAATAAATAATACATATTAAATACTCCCGAAACAACTGTCAGCAGTAGCAGAACACATGTGCAAACAAGGACAATCAATTAATTTGTCATCACATCTATGCCTCTATTTGAGGAATGAAACAAATCTGGCTGTCGCCTGATGAAGCTAGTTGTAATTACTGGCGAAACGTCGTACTCAGATTGTAAATGTTGTGGCATGGCTCTCCAACACAGGTGTGCTGTACTAGTGTAGGGCTGTTATCGAGGGGCTGTTTGTACATAGGATCAAACGGCGAACAAACACAGTGGGCGGAGCTCCGGGAGTACACGGGGGGGGGGGGGGGGGGTGCCCGCAACGACGTCCGCATCGGGCAGCCTGGGGGTAGGGCTGCCCGGGGTTGTGATCCTGGGGGGGATATAAAAGGGGATGACAGAGAGAGCTCGGGGCTCAGTATTAGAACCAAGGAGGGAAGATTGAAGACCTGGGTAGCTAGAGCCCTGGACTCCCCTGAGACGCCGCCCTTGTCAGGGCCGCGCAGGACCGAGCCAGCGGCGTGGTCCCGTGAACCAGAGTCAGCACTCTGGGACTTCGGGTACCGTAGCCCGACACACCAGTGTCGGGCCAGACAGCCTCCCCTAGCCCATTAGTGGAGGACTCGGGGTAGGTCAGGGATAGCTAGTGGTGTATCCCCAGTATACGGGTGAGGGGGCCGATACCCCCTCTAGTACTGTCCTGTCGTGACGACTTGTAAAATAAATACACGTGTGCCTCAACCTCGGTGTCAAGCGTCCTCACCAGTACTTCAACTGGAGTCAGAAGTACTACGAACATGGAAACGCGCAATACAGCTCGGGCCAGAGTACCGCAGGAGGAAGACACTGCTGAGATCGTCGAGCCCGAGACGGCTCCACAAGACATGGTGCAGCCGGGGCCTGACGCCTTCTTACCGGGGCATCGGAATGAAGAGGGGCCGCAGCCAGACGCGTTACGGCTGGCTCACGAAAGGCTGGCGGAGCTGCTGTATGCCGCTGCCGCCACGCTGGAGACCATCACGCGATTGGGGGCTGGTGGTCCACCACGGGGCGAGGGGAGCCGACGACCGGGCCGCCTTCCCGCCATTTCAGAAGAGTCGAAATTTGAATTTCCCGCCATCGACGCCGCGGCGGCTCAGGGCGTGGCCAGCTTGAACATCGGCTCCGACATCGGCCTCGCTGGAGCTGCCGCGTCATCACCGGCGGAGGGTGCGTCATCGCAGCTGCGACAGGCGATTCCATCGGCCGTTCGCGCCGAGCCACAGCCGAGTCGTGGTGACAACAACCTGCGGGGTTCTACAACAACCGCTGCGCTACACCAGAGACTGCCCCCGCTTAAGGAGTTTGTCGGCGCGGAGGGAGACTGGGGCGGCTTTCGGCGACGCTTCCTCGCCCACCAAGAAATGGCAAACTGGTCGGACGATGAGGCTCTCTGCGCTGCCGGCGCTCCTCGACGGCGACGCGCTCGCCGCCCTCACATCGGCGCCGAGGGAGAAGCGTTCTACGCTGCCGATGGCGCTACAGCTGCTGGGCGGGGTCTATGGACCTTCAGCTGAATGCCGACAGCAGTTTTACGATCGCAAGCGGGGTGAAAAGGAGTCGCCCCTGGCATACCGGACGAGCCTCCTGGCGATGGCGAAGACGGCCTTTCCTCGTATGGACGACGACGGCGTGGACGCGATGGTCACGGAGAAAATCCTCCTCCTGGCAGACGACCTCGACATCGCTGTCGTCGTACAGGAGGACGCGGAGATGACATCTCTCCAGGCTGCGCGGCTCCTCCACGCCAACCTTCTGTCACTGCGGCGGAAAGCCAGCAGGGCATCGGCCGGGCGTGCGGTGGCTGCAGCCACCCTTCCGACGGAAGAGCTCTACGCCGTCGACCACCGACGGCAACAGGCGACAGGAGCACGGTCGGGCCGGGACGGGTCGAGCCGCTTCGACCGTCCATCATCTCCGACGGCGCTCCCGCGTTGTTTCAACTGCGGCGTCCGGGGCCACGTCGCCTCGGGGTGCCACTCTCCTCAACAGCGCGGGACGACGCCTCGTCAGGACGCCGGCCCTCCTCCTCCCAAGTTCCAGCAACATGATCCGGCGAGTCGCGGCACCACACATGTTTGGCCAAAGCACTCACCTGTCGCACACTCTCGCACCACAATGAACGGGGGGCCGATGTTGCGCTGCGACGGGCCAACACGGATCACTGCGGGGACTCAAATCGAGCCCGGGCAGTGGTCCGTGTTAGCCCATCGCGTGGTGGCCGCGTTGTCGGGGTCGTCGGCCGTGGTCGGACACATTGACGGGGTAGAAGTACGCATCCTAGTCGATTACGGGGGCATCGGCGACAATCATTTCGGAGCTAATTTACAATATTCTACCTGTACAGAGCCGTCCTTTACTGCCGGTTAACGTCCCATTCTATGCCGCTAACGGGGGCTCTCTCGGCATCATGGGACAGATTCGATTTTTGTTTCCTCCTCGCTGGCGGTTCCGTGCCTGCTGGGGACGGACTTCTTAGGCAAAATGCCGATTCGAATTTTGATCGACCAAGGATGCATTGAGCTTCCGTCGGGGCGACGCATGGCGTTCCTGCCTTCCCCTGCTGCGGCTCGGACGGCGTTCGCAACAGTACCGGCGTTCGTCGTTAAAACAGTTCGTGTGCCGCCGGGAGCTCAAATGTTAGTGCCTCTGAAACTTCGTAGGCCCTTCGCTAAGGGCGTTGGGGATCAGGGTGTTATGCTGGGACCGTCTAGGGCCGGGGTTAATGGACCTCATTTAATTCCGGCCCAGACCGTCGTAAGAGGGGACGAGGACCCTTTCATCGCGGTCCTCAATGTGGGGTCGCAGACAGTAGTGGTTCCTCAAGGGACGGTGCTCGCTCACGCGACGCCGGTGCCCTGCGAGGTACCTGTCGCGAACCACGTTGGCACTGCTTCCCGGACGCACCCGCATTCGGACAGCGATGAAGGGTGGCTCGACGCGCTTTGTGCGGGATCGACGGACCTGTCAAATTCAGAGCGCCAACAGCTTAGATCACTACTGAGGGAATTTTCCGACGTTTTCAGTCGGAATAAATACGATTTGGGTTGTACTCACCTGCTGCGTCACCATATTGACACGGGTGACAGCGCGCCAATTCGCCAAAATCCGTTTCGGTTGAGTCCCGCCGAAAAGGACCATGTCAAATCGGCTGTCGATGACATGTTAGCCGCTGACATCATTTCTCCCTCCACCAGCCCTTGGGGAGCGCCGATTGTCCTGGTTAAAAAGCAGGACGGCTCGTTGCGGTTTTGCGTGGATTTTCGGCGCCTTAATAAAATTTCGGTTGCCGACGCATACCCGCTCCCACGGATGGACGAATCGCTGGACGCCTTGGCGGGAGCGCGATTCTTCTCCACACTAGATTTACTTTCGGGATTCTGGCAGCTTCCTCTGGACGATGATTCAAAGCCTAAAACTGCTTTCCGTACACCGCACGGCCTGTTCCAATTCAACCGGTTGCCGATGGGCTTACACTCAGCGCCGGCAACTTTCCAGCGGTTGATGGAATTGGTTTTGGCTGGATTACAATGGGAGTCGTGCCTGATTTATTTGGATGACGTTATTGTCTTTGGAAAAACTTTTGACGAAAATCTCCAGAGGTTGCGGGTGGTTTTCCAAAAGATGCGGGCTGCTAATTTGAAATTTAAGCCACAAAAATGCCATTTGTTACGCGAGTCGGTGCGTTATTTGGGGCACATCGTGGGGCGCTCGGGTATTGCTACCGATCCCGCCAAAACGCAGTGTGTCAGCTCCTGGCCGACTGCCACCTCGGTGGGAGAGGTGAGGAGTTTTATTGGCTTCGCGTCGTATTACCGACGCTTCGTCGCTAATTTTGCGACGATTGCCAAACCCCTACACGCTTTAACATCTAAAGGGGTTCGGTTCCACTGAGGTCAGGATGAGGAAGCTGCTTTCTGCTCCCTTCGGGACGCCCTGGTGAAAGCTCCTCCCTTGATTTACCCAGATTTTTCGACGCCGTTTTTGCTCGACACCGACGCGAGCAACACGGGTATTGGAGGTGTGCTTTCCCAGGTGGTTGACGGCGTGGAACGGGTGGTTGCGTACGGCAGTCGGGTGTTGTCTCCAGCGGAGCAAAGATATTGTGTCACCCGTAGGGAACTGTTGGCAATTGTCTATTTCATCCAACAGTATCGCCCATATCTGTACGGTCAGCATTTCACCGTCCGTACAGATCATGCGGCACTGCAGTACGCCCTGAAGGTTCAACAGCCATCGAGACAATTGTCCCGATGGTTGGAGG